GGGGTGGAGGTAGCCAGCTAGTGGTGGCATAAAAATAACATTTTGTAAGCTCCTAAACATCATGGGGCTGCGGTAGTATGGACCAAAACAAAAACCCAGTAGGTAGAATAAGAAGCTAGGTAATAACATAATAGGTAAATAAAAGGTGTTTAAAAGTGCTATATTACTACAATATTGTAGCATTTGTACTAAAAATTCCCATTTGCACTAAGATTAACAAAGTACAAATGCATTCCATTACATGTATATTTATTTTTAGGTCAAATATATTATTTAAAAAAATATATAATACATTAAAAATAATACATCTATCGTATTCAATTTTTTTTTTTTTTAATAGAAAACTGAAAGATGTAAGCAATTGAAAAGATACAACAGAAACCATGGCCTTCAACCAGCTTTCAGAAAGTTTTATGGAGATTCCATATGGATCCCTTATGATACCCTCAGAACCATTTGCTAGGACCAACAACACAACAGTCTACAAGGGTAAATATAAGAAAATTGATGTCGCAGTAAAAAATAGCCGAACCTTCAGTAAAAAGGAGTTAACTCACCATGCATGCTTAAGCCATCCCAACATTGTACAGCTTGTTGGTGCAGTGACGCGAGATCACAGGAACATGATTGTCATGGAATTTGCAAAAGAAGGAAGTCTGTCGGATCGCCTAAGGAGTGGAGAACCAATACCTGTTAATCTTGCCTATTCCTGGTCAAATGATGCAGTTGCTGCAATTCAGTACCTTCATGAGAACTCCATCATACATCAAGACATTAAACCAGCGAACTTCCTCGTCTTTCCCACCGGACTAAAAGCTTGTGACTTTGGGTTTGCAAGAGCTCTTGAGGATGGAACAACAATTACTTCACAAGTTGGCGGTACAATGCGGTACATGCCACCAGAACGGTTTCAGAAATCACCACTTGTGAGCACAAAGTGCGACATTTACTCTCTAATGATTGTAATTGTGGAAATCATGACAGGTAAACGTCATTTTGATGGCATAAGTGACTATGAGCTGACACGAAGGAAATTAGTTCCATCCCCTCCAACCTCAATACCTGATGACTGGCCAGATGAATTAAAAACCCTTTGCTATCTTTGCTGGCAGAACGACCACCGTGATCGTCCACATATCAATCAAGTAAGAGAAATTATGCTTAGTATTACGAAAGAGCAACAGAGTTTCCACGTTAAGAAGATGGCAGACATCAAGAGTACGCAGATGGCAACAGGTTATAACCACAAACTTGTAACAATATTGACGCAGCCTAGTGAAAACTTTCAACTGGTTGTTAAAGGAACCTCATATACTAAGTTTCACAGACGTTGTAAACGTCTTCCGATAAAGTGCTTGGGAACCGGTTTCCTTGCCCAGAAACATTTAATATCTAATTCTAGTCTTGGCAAGGCGCAGCTAATCTGCCAATATTCAGGAGGGCTTCTCATTGCAAAACGTAAAAAGAATGGCAATACCAAGATAACAAGGTTGAACAATGATGGCACGGAACTTAAAAAGTTCTATCTGACATATAAAGATACTAGCAGGACGCAGCAGTATGTTTCGTCTATTGCAACAGATTCCATGGGTAACATATACGCCATGTGTCGGCAGATGACTTCTAGCTTATCAGCATCTATGATTCAAACGCAACGTGCCAGATTTCAGTTTGGAGAACAGATGGGAGAGTTATTAAGAGAAGAAGACAATGGCTGGTTCTGTCTTAAGTATAATTCAGAAGGTATGTTGGTAAAGAAAATATTCACCTCTCATGGATTTAGAGAACAGCATGCAAGACCAATGCTTAAAATACACAAGGACATTATATACGTGAATTCGTGGGTACACACAGGCGTTGTTGAAAAGTTTAAAATTTATGGACAGTATGTTGAAACACTCGCGCTCGGAGGCATAAAAGATATTACAATTGATCCTTCAGGAATAATTGTCGGCCTCTCGAATAAGACGGTGGTGCTGTTTGATGAGCATGGAAAACTCCTTGAAGAATTTGAGCACAAGATTGCAGACACTCCAGTTGTGCATCAACATGTCGCCATTAACCAGAGGCATGTTCTAGTTGCAAATAAAAGTAAGACTCAAGTTTTCAAAGTGCTATAAAATCTCACTCTGATCACTACTTCACCCATAGCAAAAAGCGTCCTGAAGATCAGTCTAACGATTTGCAAAAATGAATTTGAAAATGTACCAAAGATGAAATTATGAATATCCACATCATAATTTCAACATAATGAAGGTACTTCAAATTACCAAATTGATTGACTGTCCAACATTAAAATTTTGTTAGTATAAAATGTAAGAATTTAAAAACAGAAGATATAACATTTGTGTAAATAAAGATACTTTCGTAACTCTAGTATAATTGTTAGGTAGGTGTTTCTTTATGTCTTATGATACATCCTGGTCTTTGCACATCCACAGGATTGGAAGACAACTACAGGTACTTACCAGGCTAAATCTCTGTAAAATATCTACTACGAACATTTTGCTGCCTAGAGCCCAAAAACCCAAAATCTTTAAAATCTAAAGTCAGCTCTAACATATTTTTTTTTTGTGCAAAAATGTCTTCTTTTTTTTTTTTTTTTAAACTTTTCCAGTAGCAGTATATATTAACATTTGAAATACCGTCCAGTATTGGTGTCTGGTACTTAGAACATACTGTGCTCTTCTAAATACGATATTTAGGCACAAACTTGATGAAGCCAAACCAGTCACTTGTTGGTTAAAATAAACTTTTGGTTGGTACCACCTTCACTCTACTGTATACTATATATGTGACAGGTGGAAAATGATTTAAAACAGAATTGTCATTATGAAGTTAAGGGAGTATCAATTAATGATATATTTTTAGAGAACATTAGAAATATCAGCCTTCAAGGTTTATCAAAGTACTTCAGCTGCAGTGACTAATGTAATAGACCTTCATGCTCAAGTAATTTTAAAGAATTAAAATAGATTCTGGAAATTTTGAGCTTTAAAATTAACTGACTTGTAACTTCCAAGAACTAATTTCAACAAGTGAATGGTTTGCCACATTTGTATATTGAATAAACTATAAACTTTCAATCAAACAAGAGAAAATATGTCCATTGATAGTTTTATAGTAGCATAAAGTATTCTATTTCAATACACTTTGTATTTAAACAAAGATTTGTACTAGCACTGAATTTTCATTTTGTAGTAAGTCAAAACATAATGAGTAAACCTGAATTGTTGATAAGGGAATCTGGTCCTTTAAAAATAAGCAGTTTAATGTCCTAATTGAGTATTTAATGGCGTTTTTCAGATTTCACGTAATGGTACATTCTTAAAGTATTTCAATTGGGGAGAGTGTTCGGAAGAAGGAAGCGTGTTTAGTTTTGGTTAATATGTGATTGCTAGCAGCTAGAATCTGCATTTAAATATTAACCTGATTTGATAAGTTGGCAAATACAGTGATTTTATGACATTTAAACTTCAAACGCACACTGTTCTACTCTAGTACTTTGAAGATTTTATTTTCTGACGTACATTGGTATTGTGTTGAATTCTGGTAACGCCACAAAATCACTATTGCATCACATCACAATTAAAAACTAGGCAACTATTCGTTTAAGAACCTCTTGGAACCTGGAAATCCAGGATTCACTTGATTAAATACAAAGATGTCATTGCCGATGCTTGAACTTATAGATATCATTGATTGACTGACGAAATGACTGAATTCAATTTTGACACAAAGAAACATTATATAGCATCACACCACATCTGGTAACTAAGCAAAAATCATTTTATGGTTCCTGGAACTTTAGAATTTACGTAAATAAATACAAAGACGCCCAGACTTTGACATTTCAAACTTAACTTATATTAATATTACCTTTAAACCATTTTATATTAAATACAAGATTTAAACGGTTTTATTCTATAGCTTATTAACTAATGCTATAATTAAGTCAATCATCATTTTACATCCAAAATTATATTGCTATCCCAAATCGTGCAACAACTTTGTATATAATGTAATGTTATTTATATAATATTGATATGACAAGCAACTTTGAGGACAAACAAATGCTACATGAAACCTTCGATTAACATTATAATGACATTGCAAAATGTAATGCAATGAAGAATATCATGTCTGTCTCTTATACACATCTCTACAATATTGTAGCATTTGTACTAAAAATTCCCATTTGCACAAAGATTAACAAAGTACAAATGCATTCCATTACATGTATATTTATTTTTAGGTCAAATATATTATTTAAAAAAATTAAAAATAATACATCTATCGTATTCAATTTTTTTTTTTTTTTTTTTTTTTAATAGAAAACTGAAAGATGTAAGCAATTGAAAAGATACAACAGAAACCATGGCCTTCAACCAGCTTTCAGAAAGTTTTATGGAGATTCCATATGGATCCCTTATGATACCCTCGGAACCATTTGCTAGGACCAACAACACAACAGTCTACAAGGGTAAATATAAGAAAATTGATGTCGCAGTAAAAAATAGCCGAACCTTCAGTAAAAAGGAGTTAACTCACCATGCATGCTTAAGCCATCCCAACATTGTACAGCTTGTTGGTGCAGTGACGCGAGATCACAGGAACATGATTGTCATGGAATTTGCAAAAGAAGGAAGTCTGTCGGATCGCCTAAGGAGTGGAGAACCAATACCTGTTAATCTTGCCTATTCCTGGTCAAATGATGCAGTTGCTGCAATTCAGTACCTTCATGAGAACTCCATCATACATCAAGACATTAAACCAGCGAACTTCCTCGTCTTTCCCACCGGACTAAAAGCTTGTGACTTTGGGTTTGCAAGAGCTCTTGAGGATGGAACAACAATTACTTCACAAGTTGGCGGTACGATGCGGTACATGCCACCAGAACGGTTTCAGAAATCACCACTTGTGAGCACAAAGTGCGACATTTACTCTCTAATGATTGTAATTGTGGAAATCATGACAGGTAAACGTCATTTTGATGGCCACTCTACTGTATACTATATATGTAACAGGTGGAAGATGATTCAAAACAGAATTGTCATTATGAAGTTAAGGGAGTATCAATTAATGATATGTTTTTAGAGAACATTAGAAATATCAGCCTTCAAGGTTTATCAAAGTACTTCAGCTGCAGTGACTAATGTAATAGACCTTCATGCTCAAGTAATTTTAAAGAATTAAAATAGATTCTGGAAATTTTGAGCTTTAAAATTAACTGACCTGTAACTCCCAAGAACTGATTCCAACAAGTGAATGGTTTGCCACATTTGTATATTGAATAAACTATAAACTTTCAATCAAACAAGAGAAAATATTTCCATTGATAGTTTTATAGTAGCATAAAGTATTCTATTTCAATACACTTTGTATTTAAACAAAGATTTGTACTAGCACTGAATTTTCATTTTGTAGTAAGCCAAAACATAATGAGTAAACCTGAATTGTTGATAAGGGTATTTGGTCCTTTAAAAATAAGCAGTTTAATGTCCTAATTGAGTATTTAATGGGCTTTTTCAGATTCCACATAATGGTACATTCTTAAAGTATTTCAATTGGGGAGAGTGTTCGGAAGAAGGAAGCGTGTTTGGTTTTGGTTAATATGTGATTGCTAGCAGCTAGAATCTGCATTTAAATATTAACCTGATTTAAATGATAAGTTGGCAAATACAGTGATTTTATGACATTTAAACTTCAAACGCACACTGTTCTACTCTAGTACTTTGAAAATTTTGTTTTCTGACGCACATTGGTATTGTGTTGAATTCTGATAACGCCACAAAATCACTATAGTATCACGCCACAATTAGAAACTAGGCAACTATTCAAATCGTGCAACAACTTTGTATATAATGTAATGTTATTTATATAATATTGATATGACAAGCAACTTTGAGGACAAACAAATGTTACATGAAACCTTCGATTAACATTATAATGACATTGCAAAATGTAATGCAATGAAGAATATCATGTAGTACATACTACAAGTTATTCAATGAACCCAGATAATAGGGTGGAGGAAAACCACTAATTTATTTTACTTAGAGTAAGAAAGATTTTAAAGACAATATTTTAAGTTACTGGCATGCAAAGATCAATTATAAACACAAGGTAGTGTTCTCCGCGATTTACGCATGCAAATACTGTAATAACGCATGAACGGCGCCCTCTTGCAAAATTGAAAACTTTTGAAACTTGACCGTTCTGACCATAGCATACGCCGCACGACTTTACGTTTACGCGTAACAATTAGAAGCGTCTGATTTATAATGCGCCCTCTCTTCAGAACATAAGGAACAAACTAACATACTTGGTAACGAACTTTGGCGTAACGCGAACACCCTATCTCAGATCCATGGCAACGACTATGACGCCCTCTCTCAAAAATGGTTACTTTTCTGTGCCAAATTGACGCTTCTATTAAACGCCATCTTGTGTTTATAAGATCTTTGCTGGCATGCAACTAATGAAGATTCCTAAAAACAGGAAGCTGATTGTGAGCAGGTTCACATGAAAAGACTAAACTGAGCAACAGTACTGAGGGTTACTATTATGAATATGAAGTACGTACTAAAATAGGTTTTTAATGAACCCATACAAATAGAATGGGAGAAAAATCACTCATACAGTAAGACTGACATCACAAACAAATCTAATGAAGCTTCATTATGACGGAAGTTGAGTGTGAGCTGGGCTTGCATGTAAAGATATATTTAAGCAGCCGAGTTTTATAAATCAAATGAATCTCCTACTAAAAGTGGAGTGGATTGATATTTATATGTTCTATGTTATATTATACACAGTGCATTACCTTCATTGAGGTAATATATACGAATAAAATTCAATATAAATTGCTGATGTTGTATATAGGTTTCTTTATGTTCAGTCTCATCATTTTTATATAACTTTAATTTAGAAAATGCAGCTACAATTCTTATTTATATAATGTTGTATATTTATTTTAATTAGTGTTTTGAATTTCTAAGGGATTTTCCCCACGTTTTACCATTCTTCAAAGCTAACAACTTCTTCTTTTCTATTAACTTTTACATCTTGTACAACTGTATGACGCACATTGATATTGTGTTCAATTTTGACACAAAGAAACATTATATAGCATCTCACACCACATCTGGTAACTAAGCAAAAATAATTTTATGGTGATTGGAACTTCAGGATTTACGTAAATAAATACAAAGACGCCCGGACTTTGACATTTCAAACTTAACTTATATTAATATTACCTTTACACCATCTTATATTAAATATAAGATTTAAACAGTTTTATTCTATAGCTTATTAACTAACGCTATAATTAAGTCAATCATCATTTTACATCCAAAATTATATTGCTATCCCAAATCATGCACCAACTTTCCATTAGTTCACATGTTTTTTTTTCTGCTTGTTAGCAGAAATTCCACCAAACCAGCTTTGCTTATAACACCATCCAGACAATAAACAACCGTTCATTTTTATAAGCAATTAAAATTGGAACAAAATTGTTAATGCAATTTTAGAAGTTTGCTAATCTGGTTAGGCTGCCCACTAGTTATTTACCTACACAAGGTTGTTGGTTATTGCTCTCTACTATGTATAATGTAGCTGATAATCTTTCTTAAGCTGTTCTGTTCTTGATTCAGAAGGTAAAATATTTTAGATTTTGGGACATCGTAATTTATGATGTTTTTAGTATGATGCTTTCTAAAATTAAATATGGGCTAGCTAGGCCCTGGGGCCTGACTAAGCTTTATAAATTTTTACCTCATGCTAATTATAGCAGGTGCAAAAACCGGAACACACGGAGATTGTGAAGGCCGCCAGCTTAAAATTACACCCCTCCTACGGTACCTTTGAAGTATTATGTGAGATTTAAGTGCTTTGTATCTAATAACAAAAGCACTATAGAAAAGCCTGCAGCATAAGACCTTTACAAAGTCCCAAGAGAAATATCAATCATGTTATTTTGAATACATAGAATAATGAAAAAGAAATGTAAGGTTTTTTTAAGAATAAAATCAAAATACAGGATATAAATACAAAACTTCCTTTTCTACACTACATCGTATTAGGCGAGAGGCACTAACTGGCCAAAAATAAAATTTTATTTTTATTTGAATGCATCAATATTGGCAAGCAGCTTGTTCGTAAAAAAAAAGGTATAAAGAAGTTTCGCCTTATGATAAAGAGGTGAATATTTTTGACAGAAGAGGGCAACATATCATTAGAATAATATGTGAATAGTACTAGTTTTTGCAATTAGATTTTTTTTTGCAAATGTCAAAAAAATGGGGTGCTGCACTGTGTTAGGAGCTAATCACAGCGTGATAAATTCAGAAGATTTCCATTTTCAGGTGCAAGATCTTGTTTATAAGATATGGAAACCGGGAAGCCGCAATTTAATCAACATCAAAAATCAACTTACGTTGTCTCTTGAGCAGGAGTGACAACACTAACTTCTTGAACAGGAGTGACAACAGGTGAGTTGTAGGCCCTGCCTGGCAACTGAGATGGACTGAAAAGAAAACAACACAAATAAAAATGAAATCTGAAACAGGTAAAACCTACAAAAGATAAGATACGATTAAGATAAACTTTATTATCAAGACCACAAAACAAGAAAGTATAATACATACTCCAAGTATTGAAATACACGCCATCGTGTTGGGATTCAATATTTCGACATTAATTATGTCATCATCAGGAATGAAAAAATTTATCCATATTAGCAAGCTTATATGCACTAGTACCAAAAGTGTTTAACCTATCAAAACATTACCTCTAGTAGGTGACATAGCAGTGATTTAAACAAAAGATCAAAGCATTCTTACTCTAATGATCAAAGATACCTACAAAAACAAAGAAAGCTCTTTTGAAGCTCTGAGCCCATTGTTAAGCAAAGGGTTTAGTCTACGTATAGCGAACGCTTCTTTAAACAATAGGATAGACCAGTTTCGGGAGCTGTCAATAATGTTAGTACTAGAAAATATTAAACCTAATTTATTACTTAAATACCTCTTTAATTAAGTGTTTCTTTACCTTATTTAAACATCTACGTAAAATGAACTCACCTGGTTTTCCTAGATAAGGCAATCTAACCCAAATCTTAGTCAAGCTATCATCAGTAGGCCTATGTATACATTTAGGTTCATTTAATTTCTGAAGTACATTATTAACAACTTTTAAAGGGTACCCATTCCAAGACATAAACTTCCTGATGTTACTAAGCCTCACATTATCAGGTATTTGCTTTGAGACTTTCCAGAACTAATACTTTGTTTGGTACCACAAAACAAGGTGTACATGAAATTTGGTTTCCTTGATGCTTAAACTAAAACACAAAAGTAATACGGTATAAAAAAAAAAATTAAGGGAATAGTTTACTTAAAATATAAATTACATGTAAGACTAACATATAATATACAGAACAATATAAATTATACTATCTCTGAAGAGTTGAGTTGAAAACATGAGTTGTGTTATGAATGAGGGAGTTCCTGCACTGTGTTGTCTTGCATGTCAAAGTACGGAGTCTACCAGATTTGTATACAACAAGATGATCATTGTTTAATGAATGTGAAATATCTTCCACAATTTTCTGAACTTGGCTAATGACATCACATTTATGCATCTCTCGTCAATAATAACATTAACATTCTTTCCTATTATTCACCTGCAGTTTTCATTATTTAAAACGCGTCTCCAATCTGCTAAGTGAGATAGACATAGATTATCATGTATTTGCTTTGAGACTTTAAGAATTCTTGATCCGATTTTGATAAATGAGGCATGTTGTAACAAAATGGCTAAGTTCAATGGCAAAAATTGAAATTGGTATTTTCAGATACCTGAGTATGTGATATTTAAAATGAGAGGTCTTTCATTGAAATTGGACATTTCAAGCCTAAGTTATTGGAAAGTGAACGTACAGTACTCTTAGAATCAAGACAAACATGATTTTGAGTAATTGCCTTTCAAAGTTATTTGTGCGTACATTGTTTAATAGAATGAACTATCAAAATAACATTAAATAAATTTCTTGACTACTTCCAGAACTAATACTTTGTTTGGTACACTAAAATGTTGATCTATAGTGAAAAACAAATTTGGATATTTAGGCAAATTTTTTGAGCTCCCATATTTTATAGCTCATATACTCAATACTGGCCTTTGCGACAACTTAACCATTTCGCTACGACATGCCTCGAATCACTGTCCAAATTACAACAGGAAGTATGACACATATATTTTTTGATATAGTACGATTAAACATACATTATCTGTTTGAATCTTACATTACCTCTATTATCTGACAGACAAAAAAAAGTATTTATGTCTGGCTTTAGCCCAACTTTTAAACTATAAGTTACAAACACCTTCTACAGCATTCCAAAATTTTATCGCAATGCATCTATTAAACAACTAGAGTGCGGACTAGGCGACAAAGCAATGCAGAGTTGTATACAGTATACAAGATGGCCATCATAGGAAAGCGCCACCATCAGGCTTAGTATACATATTATAACCATAATTAAGCCCTCTGAATAACTATTATTTCATAAAATAATTATTATTAATAATTATGATTATTTCATAAATCATATTATTAATATTAATGAATTATTACACTATCGTAGCCAAAAACAGGTCAAGTTGAGTCACTAATTTTAATAAATACCTCCTTCTTTCTTTTGTATTGTCTTGCTTCCATAGAAAATATGATATTGAACCAAATCTTCTTCCTGTTGTTAATAACCGTCATCTGTCTGATTTTAGATTTAAGATCCAATTTGCTAGAACCAATTGTTATAAATTTACTGTTTTTAATTATTTTCCTTATTATGGAATGACCTACCTCCAAATATTAGGGAATGTGCAATTAATTCCACAAAATTTAAATATGTACTTAAGCAATTTTTTTTTTTTTTTTTAAATTAAATCATATTAAATTAATTAAATTATATTTTTACCTTAATGAAATTGTAATTTTCTTTTTAATATTTTTATTAATTTTTTATATTGTACATATATGAATTGTGAATTTTTCAGATTTTAATGTTTGTCTTTTTAATGTTTTGGAGAGCCTTTAGATAGTGATTAAGTTCGCTTTTAGGTAATCCTCAGGCTTTTTTTTTTGTCATTTGTTTCTCTTATCTATTGTACTCTATTGTCTTGCCTGGGAATAAATAAAATAAAAAATAAATGAATAAATAAAGTACTGAGGAATGAAAATCAAAATCGTCTAATTTACACTGCAACGCTTGAGTTTCAACATATCTGTATTCAAAACTTAAAAGTGAAGTTGAGGGCGCCATCGAAAGGTTGCTGTAGCACATTATAATTGGTTGAATCAAAGGTAGCCATCTTGTATGGTACACTGGAGCTCTAGTAATATTATTATAACTCTATGGTGTAATGTTTGAAATTGGGAGACTATTGACTACTCCAAAAATAGCAGATTCTAAACCTCATCTCACCTTGATTCACTCATTGACGTGTCACCACCCGGAGATGTCGAATCCTTTGGAAACAGCGGTAACGGTGAAACCAAATCATCTTCTGCTTTCCTGAAGCTAAGCCCACTATAGGACCCCTGTGAAGCAATTTGGCAATAAGTCAGCAAATGCACTGCTGTATCTTTACCATAGTCACTGTCGCACTCACTTTAGTCATTTTATATATCACTGCCATCATAATCTTATTGTTATAGCCATCCTTGCATCACCAGCCTCAATCATCGTTATCACCATCAACATCATCATCACCATGGTACCATCTTCATCATCATCACAAATTAATAATTCATTTATTTATCAACATCATTAACTTCTTCATCTGATCCTTTTCATCATCCACATCATTTTCCTTATCATCCTCATCATTCACATACACCTCACCATCCTAATCATCCTCCTTATCAACCTATTCATCCTCCTTATAAGCATCCTAATGGTTCTCCTTATCTGCATCCTAATCATCCTCCTCATCTTCATCTTCTCATCATTAGGATGTTACATGATGGACCATACGTTGATAGCCACACCAGAGGTATTTTGTACATTAGCAGACAAGATAAGAGATTAAAAAATTGATTACAATCCTGTTAACCAAACAGGGATGTAGTTATGGTGGGCGTGGCTACCCAGCCTTGAAGTTTTCCACCCAGTCTAAAGCTAATTTCATGGTCCTCCACCCACATTTACTAACCAACTTTTGCATCCTTAAAATCCACTCTTATTATTTGAGTTTGCCAATGTTATCCCCACCAACCCTTAAAATGTCTATAACCACCTTTAGTTATTTACAGCTATAACCCTGAACAAAATATATACAATGAGGCTTTCACTTACTCCAGGGGACTTCTTTTTTATGACTAGCTTTTTGACACTTCGTCTAGGCATAAATGAATCTGACCTAATGACTGCATCTTCTTCTTCTAAGCCCTCAAATAACTGTGACTTCATACTTATACTTCGCGCTTGAAGGGCCTTCGGCCGGATCTTGGGGCTAGGCCGGGTGGAAACCTGCCAAAGTGAACAATAACATGCTTAATACAACACTAGGTTTGGCAAAAAATTAGTGCTAGAAATCCTAGGCTTGGCAGTTGTATGCTTGGCAATGATTGGTGTGTTGTTTACACATGCTGTAATTGTATTAGCTAACCGAGTAACTACAAAATGGATTCCGTAAAAGACGAACCAGACAGGTTCAATATCACAAATTAAAAAATCTATCTAGATCATTAACATAATAATCATTAGTTTAATATTCTTATTATTATTATTATTATTATCATTATTATTATTATTATTTAAATAAATAATAAATAATAATAATAATAATTATTATTATTATTTTTATTATTATTTATTATTAATATTATTATTTCATTATTTTTTTATTTTATTTTTATTAAATGCAAATCTCATTACCTTATATGGTGATGATATAAGTGCTTTCTGGGCTGCCGCACTAGTTGGTTTTAGTACCGCTTCACGTTGTCCCGTGGTCTGTAGCGTGTTCTTGAACAACGGGTTATCACCGTATGGCGACGTGATAAGAGTCAACAACTGGGCTTGTTGTTGGGCCGTCGGATTTGTATTCCCACTGAAAATAACAACAATAACAATAACAATGATGATGACAAAATAATAATAATAATTATTCAAATAATTTCATCTAGTTTTTAAAATTGTCTTATATTATATTGTAATCATTCATTGCTATGGGTATAATATTCATAGGCTCAAAATATCCAATAATAATTTCATTTCATTTTATTTCGGCATTATATTAAAATATACAGAAGTACAAAAATATATCAAAATACAAAAATACAATAGCAAAAAATGTCATAAAAAAATAATAAAAACCACAAATTAAAAAAACAAACAAAAAGTTATAAAAACATTCTTTTATCAATATAATTTGAGTTACCTTGAACATCATGTACCACTTATAAAAATTGATATTAACACAAAAAAACATATATTAATGCCAGGATAACCTGTGAAAGTTCAGAAGAACTTGTTTCCAATGGGGTCCTAAAATATCACATAGAAACAAAAATGGAGACAGACAAAAGAAGCAGTATATGATGTACAAGATAAAACAATACAAAATGAAGACCGACCTATACAGCATTACCCAAGCTACAGCATAAACAGGTTAGTTATAGGCTATGTGCAATATTACAGAATCTTTTATGAAGGCGATACTTTAATTTAAATATAAATACATTGAGTAATGTTGATTGTTTTATGTATGATGGTAATGAGTTCCATTGTTTGATTGCTGTATAGTAAAATAAATAAATAAATAAATGTTGTATTGTTGGGATGTTTAACATGTGAGATACGAAAGTTTAACGAGCTAACGCTAGTAAAATGATTATGTAAACTATTGAGTCGTGTGAAATGATTTTGTAAGTATTGTGGGCTAAGTTGATGAAAGATTCTGTAAACATGACAAAATTTAAAGAATTCAAATCTACCAGAAATGCTCAGTAAATTGAGACCAGAGAGTTGATAATAATAATAACCAATAAAATATAAGTGAATAAAGTCAAGCGAATCTGATAAATATTACCAACGTCAGAAAATTATAATTAAAGAAATAAAAGATTGTACTGTAAATGTTTTAAAAACTGTTTATTTAATTCAGAAATCACTATGTATGAACCTTCATAATTATTTAATTCAAATTCAAAATTAATTTCAGAAAAAATATAACAAAATCATGATGCTGCCTTCCAAGGATTGCCAAAAAAACTATCAAGTGGCTCTTCTGACAGCATCATTACAAATTAAATAGCATGCAATTATTTGTATAACATTTTTAAATAAGAAAAATAATAATAATAATAATTAAATTAAAATTAAAAAAAAAAAATTTTTTTTTTAAATTATATCTACATACATGTATTTGTTTTAACTTGGCACACAAAATTACAATTAAAATATTTTATATAAAAAATTACTTACAATATAAAAAAAAATTAACATTTAATCATTTAAAATTCTGAGCGGAGCATTGAGAAAATGATTATTCAATTATGAGTAAAAAAAAATTATATAGTATAGCAGAGTATAGCTATTAGTTTACTAAATAAAGAAATATATATATTTTAATTTTAGAATATTACAATATTCAATAGCATTTAATTAAACTCCAATTATTGCAATAATGAAGAGCATTGAGAAAATAATTATTTAATTTTGAGTAAAAAGAAATTGCATAATTCAGCTATTAGTTTAATAAATAAAGAAATATATATATTTTAATACAATGCAAATTTTAGAATATAATATTCAATAGCATTCAATTAAACTTGTTAACTCTATTTATTGCGATAATGAAGAATTAACTACTACCACCACCGGTAACATTTCGCTACCGCTACCACTACCGACAACATCATTGTCACCACCACCTCCCTTAATATCATCACATACACAAAAACAATATCATTTTTAATGAAGCTTTGTTCCTTTGGTGATACCAATATAGTGATTAGAGGACAGATGCCAGTGGACAAGCTAACAAGAAATGCCAAATGGAAAGAAGCTAAAAAAAAAAAACTCTATTAAGCAAGGAATAATAATTTGAATAACTGTTTAAATCCTAAATTTAGCACTAGTCTGTTCTCATTTTATCCACACTTTAAAGATAAACTGCCATGCAAATTTATTAAATTTGAAATTTCGAAAGAAGACAGAAAAATTGCTGATTTTGTATATTTCAATACAAAATTGTTACTTAAATAAGAAAGTATAATACATACTTGGAGTGTGTATTATACTTTTGTTACACTAAATTTGTTATACTAAATTGTTACTTCAAACTGAAAATTACTAACAATTTTCCTCATCTACCATCAGATATTTAAGTAAAAACATTCTACACACACTCTTTGCATATTATCCTTTAATTTCAACAAGCAAATAGAAAAAATAGAAAGATTCTATAAACCGAAAGGTCCACCGATTAATCTTGGATAAGGTAGTATAATACATACTCCAAGTATCAAAATGCACGCCGTTTCGATACTTGGAGTATGTATCATACTATCTTATTTGTGATTCTGTTACATAAGCAATTTGACATTTTACTTTTTGGGAAAACCTAATCTCTATTGCAGTTCATTGTAACAGAGCACATTTTCAAAATACATACCATATTTTTATATTTACTCGAGGCATGTGATTATTTCAAATGGTGCTCTAGAGTACGGGCATTTACTCAAATAAATACAGCATTACTTTTACCTCAATAATAATAACTGCTGTTCTGTGCTTTCTACAATCACCCTGAAACATTGGATACAGATTAACATTTGACAAATAATTAAAAATCCTGATGAAAACCATTCATTTATTTAAAGGAAAGCTTACCATTTTTAAAACAATTATAAAACTGTTTTAGTATACTCAGTTTAGTTCATATCTGAAATAATGAATAACTTGTGGTATATATAGATATAAGCTGACGTTACAAGTTCATCGGTCCATCCAATTTAGCGGCAGGCAAATGAAATGCATAGGATTAGTAACATTGTTAAATGAGTTACTCGTATTATTACCATTCTTATATCAAGTCTATACTGCTTTGTTTAAAAGAGATCTGAGGACACATCTGTTGTCTGGTGCTTTTGCAGTTTCTTAGTTGTTTTTTTTTTTGCCTTGCTTGCTTAGTTAATTTCTTTAGTTAGATTATTTGAGTACCTGTGAGTTATGACTAGGCCAGCCCTGTGCTTAAGTGCCTGTAAACAGTGATGTGTGTGGCGTTTCGTATTTAATAGCTTTAAGGTTCAAAGTAATTTTTTGTTTCGTCCTTCCATAGCACCTTGAGCACAACTGCAGGGGATATGTGCGCTTTATAAATCTTACTATTATTGTATTACTTCAGTAGTATTGAATGTCTTTGTAGATGAATAAATAATCAAAGGTCTAAATGACAAGGGCATGATTATGTCACCTCCAGAAGGATGGAAGTGGCTGTCTGGGTCCTCCCTTGAATCCACCACTGCGACTGCCTAGTTGGGACTTTGAGAAAAGCAGGAAGCTAGCTCAGATTTCTGACCTCACTATCAGAATGACCCCACTACAATGAAACTTCTATGGATTACCTTTAGCTTGCCATACCAATGAAAACCAACCAATTAAACAGGCTGAACAAAATTACAGATTGTTTTACATAGAACACTAATGGTGATTGGACAAGGATATTAAAAACAACATCGCGAGCAAGCAACCTGAAAGACAGAAAATTAAAACAGGTGGTCACTGTTGTTTTTCCTTACCTTCCAGTCTGTAAACCTCCCCCACCAAGGTTGAGCCCACCTCCTGTGCCTAGGCCTCCAGCATTAAAGCCAGCTAAAAAAAAAAAAGAGGATTTCAAAAATAAGTTTTTGTGTCTATTACCCTTTTGGGGGCAGAGACACTACGTTATCGTCTGGAAGTTAACCCTGTAAGAGTAAATAAATCCGGTGAAGGTCCATGATGGGTACTACATCCACGAGATAGGGGCCGCCCTATTGGAAAACGAATGGAGTTCAGACCTCAACAAAATTTCAGTTCAAATCCCGAAACATGCGTCATAGAAATGCAGCAAGATTTTCATACAAATGCCTTGCATTGTCTTTTAAAGGACACCCTCGAGATTGTGGTAGTACAATAATAGTCAATAGACTCATGCTCATTTTCTTAATATTCTAAAGTAATACTTTTTAGTCACAAAGAAATAGAAATTTATTTTTCATTAAAAGAATAATTTTAATTGTCAACTTCTGTTCAAGATTTATCTTCACTGGTAACTGAGTATAACTAAATGATGACTATGTTATACTTACTTGAACCACTGTTAAACGTTGTACCAAGACCGGTCGGTTTATTTAAACCACTAAACAGTGAACTACCTGTATTGCCAGTACCAAAACCACCACCAAAACTTGTATTAGACTTTCCACCAAAGAGTCCTCCACCGGTTGAGGTATTGGTATTAAAACCGGTGCCTGAAAACAAGAATATAAATACCATGATATAAATAACTAATGTATGAATTATCAATACACTTTTATTAAATGATAAATGAGATAAGCATAAATACAATGGCAGTAAAATGCTGAACATTGAGAACATCTGACAATATTTGCTTCTATAAAGCGCCTCAAATGGCTGGCCTGCGCAAACAGGGGCATGGACCTCAAAATTAAAAAAAGTAAATCCTTACCAATGTTTGTATTACCAAGATTTAAACCGGTAGGCTTAGGAGCGCCAAACAAACTTGAACCAGGATTATTGGTTCCAAAACCAAATGGAGTGTTGGCAGACGTTGTGGCCGTGTTAAATCCACCAGATTTATTCGCACCGAAGAGTCCCGTCTAAATAAAAAAAGATTTACTGTTTTAATAATGACAATTAATTTAGCTTTATCATTTTTTGATCAGTTAAGAAGTCAGAGTCAAATTTTAATAAAAATAGTTCTATATTTAGTTATTAATTAATTTTTCATAAATCTAAGAAATTTGATAATTACAATTAAGATCAAATAAAATAATACACCTCAATTTACAACCATTAATAATTATAAACATAAGAGGTCATTTAGGTTAACTCTTGTATATTCCAATCACTATTATTGTTTTATGATTGCAATAAAGATTTATTTGATTTAAGAGGAACATAAACAAGGACTCGGAGGTTCATTCAAAGATAACGTATAAGGTCAAGGTCAGGTCAATCTTTATTAATTCTCAGACAAGACTATTAAATTTGTATGCCCATATATATACTCACAATGTGCCTATATATGGTAATGATATGATGTCATAATTTGACCAAATTTAGGCATGTCATATTTTGGTCAGTTTCAGTGGGAACACAAACTTGTTTTCTACAAACAGCAGAATTACTAAAGTAATACTCAAACTGAAAATAAGGTCACAGTTTGTATAAACATTAAAAATATAGCAAAGAAATGTATTTATACATCATACAAAACTACGCCCACACTGCTTTAAGTGTATTTTATCACACACAATTTTACATCATTAAATCGAAGAATGTGTTTATAAAAACATGTACACTACTTATGATCGATGCAAGCTATAGATAAAAATATTTATGTGACCAGGAATAATATTTTGTTAATGTTAAATGTGTCCAAAACATTTAACAGCACAGGCCAAAAAAAAAAACACTTTGTTTGTTCTTAATCAGCACCAACTCTACACTCCCCAATGTGCTTGCTAATTTTATCTGCAATCGCCAAACTCACAGCCTCGACAAAATGTTGAATGTCATAGCATTGTGAAACAGAAGCACAAAATAACAAATCAATGTAAATATTTTAGATAACTGAACAGAAACATAAAAATATGTATTGTTCCATGAAAAATATAGAAAATTCTAAAAATTATTTATAAAATTAACTTGAACATAGAAATTACTGTATTTAAAAAATAAAGTTACCCAGAATTTTACAGCCGAAGGTGACAGAAACACTTTTTATCATTATCCAGTATAAAAATCAGGGTACACATTTTTTAATTTCAATTATAATTTCAATAATCAAGTTAATAAGTTGTATGTTACTGCAAAATGAGTAAGTTAATTTCCAAAAATATTTTTTATGATTTTTTGTGGCTTTCATATTCAAAGGAGACGCATCAACATTAAAATTGAAACATCAATCAGAATCAGATTTACTTCAAATATTTTTTATGGAGAATAGAGTTAGCGGAAGAAGGGGGTAGCTTGTGGCTAGACAACGAATTGCTATGAAACACTGACCGATTGCGGTTGTCCAAATCCTGTGTTTTGCGAGCCGAATGATCCTGTTCCAAAACCTGAGGTGTTACTTCCAAATAGACCAGGGTTGGAAGGTGGCTGCTGACTAAACAAACTCTATTGGAACAACAAGATTTTAGGTTAACTCAAACTTATATTAACAATGGTTTTTAATTAACAGAGAGCTTGGCAATCAGCCAATATTTTTGCAGGCAATAATGAATCCTTTAGGTCACTATTTTCCAATACTGCCAAAAACCTCAATAATTGCTCCTTTTTTTTTAACTTATCAAAATCATCATTTTGAAGTAATATCCCAAAAATTAATGTAATATCTTTATCTTTATTATGTTGAAACACATAGAACATTCTATACTAATTATTTTTTTTACGCAAATTCAAATATAATTTTAAAAAATAAGTATTGTAAATACTGCAAAAACTGGTACAACACTTTCCTTAAAAAAAAAAAAAACTTTCCTTCAAAAAAAAAAAAAAAAAAACGAGCAATGAGGCCAAATCTTTCAATTATTATTAAGAAAAAGTTATAGAAATCAGACCTACCTTTGCTGGTGTTGGTTGCCCGAAGGTATTCGCTGCACCGCCACCACCACCGAATGCTGTGGTTGCCCCAGTGCCCGTTCCGCCAAAAAACTGCTTATTCTGACCAAAGAGGGTACTTCCCTGTTGCTGCTGAGACGTCTGGGTCTGACCAAAAGTACCCAAGTTTTGACCAGTTCCAAAGGCTTGATTGAAATGAGAAGATAAAATCTCTATTTATAATTGATTCATACACAGCATCTCACTATAATATAACAAATGAAAAACACTGTTAGGGTGAGGTCCAAGTTTTGAGCAGCAATTAGACGAGTTAATCAGTGTCAAAAAAGCTAAAAGGAATAATACTATGTTTTCCCACAGCTTTTAAAATGTTCAAGATGACTTAAATCCATTTGTATAACATATAAAAAACGCTTTTTTGTCTGGAGCCTAGCTATAACTTACAAGTCCCAAATCCTCCAGGTTTTGGTGTAGTGCCAAAGCCTCCGAAGCCGGAGGATGATGTTGCAGGCTGGCCAAAGAGGCCTTTGTCTGTTGTTGTGGTACCAAGACCTCCGGAAGATGGGCCTTTCCTGTTAGCAGCATAATCTTCAACTCTTAATTCCTAAAAAACATTAGAGAAAAAAATGATTCATATTCCTTTCATTCATATTACTGCCAATAAAAGCATTTTCATTATTAAATGATATTATTGTTCCTGTTATTGATAATTTTGTTTAAATATCATAAGAGCACTTTGAGCTTGAGTAAGGATTTGAAGAACAACTACAAGTTTATTTAATGGAAAATAAATATAATTGTTACTTCTATTGTTGTACTGTGAATGTCATAAATCATTTTAGCCTATTAAATTACCGGTAGTTGTTAAAAAATTGCAAATAATATATATTCGTCCTCATCTCCTTATGACCATTACAGAAATAAAAGAACAAGTTCTCGTAATCTCAAAAGTTCCGATGATGGCAGTATAATAGAGGGAGTAAAGTATAAAAAATCTATTTAATAATCAATTAGCCGAGTGTTTTTTGAATACCTCATTGGAGGTAATAACAGTTTGTTTAAAATCTTGAATTAAAACAAAATGGACAAAGTTCAAACTAAATCAACACATGCTGTGGTATATAGTACCTCAAATGATTTATTTTCATACTCCTTCATGGCTGTTATAACTTGGTGTTTTGTTTGCTGGTTTTGCGTTACTCCATTTTTCACTGCAGTATCTGTGCTAATAGTAGCCTAACATGCAAAAAAATAAAAACACAGAAGGCATGCTCAATTATTTTCTATACGAATGAGTATTTTTGGTATTACACCAATGATAACCCACCAAGTCCCACCTTCTGGTGGGGCTATCGTAACTTGGGTTTCAGCCCTCCAGCTGAAACACAAGGTAATCAGCAGATTGAACTGAACCAGTGGAAAAAAAAAAAAAATCTGAATGCACCTTCACAGTTTAGTGCACACAGGTGGTAATCCCAACAGTTCAGTTGACTGAGCATAAGCTACTCAACTCTTAATTCATAACAGTTACGATATCTTAACAATATAGCGAGCAGCTAGCTCAGTCGGCTAAACTAGTGGTAGCCACTGTGTGTGCGCTGAACCGTGGAGATCTCTAGGTCCCTGGTTCAATTCCTATCGCTGTTCTTGTGTTTCAGATGGAGGGCTTAAATGCAAATTTCAAAAGAGTACTGTCTTTTGGACGAGACGTTTGAGCCGTTGGACCTGCGTGCAAAATGGCTTATGTGCCCGTTAAAGAATGCAGTACACTCTTCGAAAAAGAGTAGGGGATTGTCTCCCGGTGTGCTGCCCAATCACCACCAGAAGGACCCCACTGGAAATAAGTCTTCTTCAGACTTTCATGGGCTATCCTTGGTGTTTACACCAAATAAATCCATCCATCCCTCCATAAATAGTTTTTGTCTTTGAAGAAAAATGTTTAGAAACTATGAATATAAACTCATAATTAACAGCAAGTAAACACATAAATCATTTAATAGTAAATGATACATTTCACAGCTATATAAGATAATGCACCTGGATATCAGGCAGTGGCATAATTAGGGAAGAGAACATTGCCCCTCCACCCACATACCAAAAAAAATTCCTTCGCCAGTCGCTTCAACATTGAAAATGTTTCCACTTATGTCACCTTAATTTGCGAGCTCGCACCCTTCACTTAATCGAGTCCCACACATCAGCTCCCCCCCCCCCAACCATTTCAAGACTCCTAGATAGGCCACAGATATTCGGTAGTGATATGCCTGATCTGATTTGTTGTAAGTGATATGTACCTGACCGTATGAAACGTCACCAATACAACCGGATAACCATGTTATATATTCACGTACACATGTGATAAAAATTGGAATTCTCAGAACTTTGACTAACTCACACTGGGTCAAGTTGAATAAAAGAGTTACGAAATGTGCGAGGGAAATTTCGTTAAAACTTTTTGGCTGAATGGACTGACAGTGAACTCTCGCTAATATAGGTTGCTATTTCCCCCGAGAAAAACCCACAAAACAACAGTTCCTGTGCCGTTTCGTTGACCAATCAGGCTAGACATAAAACACATGTTTCTTAGTGTAACATCCATCACTACCCTATCTACTGTTGCACATGTTTTAACTTGCGAACAGTAATAAATTTCGACACTGTCCATAAGAGTAAATCTGCCCGGAACACACGAGGGTGTCAATCATACAAGGTTATTCGATCATTGTTTTATCATGTGTGTTATCATAGATACATATTTTCCTGATTGCTTTCCCGTGGGAAATGCCGTTGTTAATGCCAAGTCCTTTAGGAGTTTCTGGCCTTCCCCCA